AATTACAGTGTATTTGGGACATAAAAAGGTAAGTTTCCACCAAATTTCGTAGAAAAACAAATTTTTCACATAAATTTTGAGTTTATGTGTGAAAAAAATTAAGAAAATAAAAAACTTTGCCATTTAACATTTTTCCATAGGACTTGTAATTTTGGCGGATATCGAGAAAAACCATTTTACTCACCCACTTCCACTTCCCGAACTCAGATCATCATATTCCCCCTTTTCTAATGGGTTTCATCCTACTGTTATTTTTTGGTTTGAAAAATTATCGACCCTGGTCTATACGTTATTCTATACATTTTATTTCTGAGGAAATAAGAAACGTCTGAGGGCCCTAGGATTTTGCCCTACAATAAGAGGAATTGAATATATGGTGTGGAATGTTTAAATATCTACTTCAATGTTCGTTTGTCTTTGAAGGGAATTTGAACGTTGAAAATTATCTGACATTTCTACAAAATCAATGCGACAGTCGAAGTGATTTTGAATTTTGGTATTGTGAGTCATCTGGTCAAACTAACTGTAAGTAAGGAATACACAATTGTTGACCATTCGAAGAATGTGGGCTCTTTGTGCACGCAAGTCTTCTGTAATACAGAGTCACAATCATGTGTGGTGAAATTTTAGAAATTTGTTGTAACTTTTATCCAGTCAAACTAAAAAACTATTGATACTCGGTCATATGTATAACAGAGGAAAGCTGATTGAAATTTCTTAGAACTGTAAACGACAATAGACTTCTTGAAACTTCAGATAATCTGATAATAACAACCTTATTCAAAATTATAGGTGAGAAAATTCAAGATATTTTCTGAAGAAATCATTATAAATTTCAGTAGTCGGGGAATTTTCACAGGGCGAGAAATAAAGGAATTAAATTATTTTTCAGTAATTCATATTGCTTGGTTAGTAGAATGTTCGGAAAAAAGAGAGTTTCACGGATTTTGTGAGTGAGAAAAAATATTTTCGACAGTATATAACAACAACCAATGGTTTACTCAATCTTCAAATTCATCAAATATTAAGAGTTCATTCGATAATTCACCTCAATTGGTAATTTTTCAATGAATTGGCGGAGTAAATTGATCATGTCATTTTCCCTTTTAAAATACTATGAATGATTTACTCTAGCTCGCACAGTAAAACCACAATTGAATTTTTGTTCTAGAGAATTGAGTAATCTCAAATTTCCATGGATACCTGACTTCCGGATAGTTACCATGGCTGTCGATTTGAAGATGTTATGTCTAGATGTTACATTCAAAATAGGCGATTTGAGAGTAGAAGGCGAATACGAGGCAACAAACATGACGTTACAGCGATTGCTGCCAATAACTAATAATGGAAAAATAGAGTGAGTACCTAAATTATTAATTTGGTACATCTATTTTGTGGTGATTTGTTCGATTTTCAATTCCCTTTCCACAGTTTGTTTATTTCAATACTACAAAAAATACATAACATTCTTTTATTCCAATAACTGTATAAATGATAATTGTACAGGGTGAATCAATAATTGTGAAACTTTGGCTTGAATGGAATATTTAATGAGGTTTCTGTTGAACTACAAATTTATTGAAAATGTTAATTAAGTGAATGTTCAAAGTGGTTTCCATTGGTTTGTGAACAATAATACAGCCTATTGTCAAAGTCTGCACTTTGATATCAGCCAGCTTACTATGACTTTTTTATTCGTAATGCCACCTCCCGGACTATTATTTCAAATGAAAAGTGTCCGTCGATACTTTTTTTGTTAAATAAAAACTCAATTTGCCGTTTTTGCAAATCAAGTTTGGAGATCTGTTTTTTTTTTGGTTCTGCCAAAGTCAATAATTTTTGGTTTGTTTGAGACTGTTAAATGTCATTAGTTTTCACCATTTGTACGATCTGTACTGTCATTCAGCTGTAGTTGTCACGATGGTTTACAGTATACCTAAGCGCGTGGAGATAATTTTCATATTTGCTTCCGCAAATATGAAAAAACAGCTCAAATATTTCATGAAAGGCATCCGACAAAAATGTAAGTCACATGTTCGCCCGCGATTTATTTGAACAGTTTAGAGAAACGGGATTAGTGCAAAATAAAAAAGGAATGGAATTTTGCAATGGAGCCTACTGCATCAACACGTCAAGTATTTGCAGTGACAGGACTTTCACATGAGTCGGTTAGAAAGGTGTTGAATTACATAAGTTTCCCCCCTAACAAAACACAAATTCTCCAAGAACGAGGCAATGATGATCTAGACCGACGAATTGAGTTTTGTGAACTCATGACTGGAAGAATTCGCATTGAACCGAGAATGTTGAAAAATATTTGTTTCAGTGATGAATGAACTTTTATGCTGAATGATAATGTAAATGAACAAAACTGTCGGTACTGAAGTGATGCGAACCCGATCGATTCAGAGAAGGTCACACTCAATATCCTGAAAAACTGAATGTTTGGGCAAGAATATTAGGCGATGCTATAATTGGTCCATTGTTCATACCAGGCAATTTAAGTGGCGATATTTATCTTGATATGCTGGAAAACACCATCGAACCTTTAATTGTGCATGAATTAGAGAACCAAAGGGACGACCAAGGCAACCTAGCTGTAGACGAAGATTTGCTGCATTTCTAACAAGATGGAGCACCTTCTCACTATGCAGCTCCAGGTAGGCACTGTTTGGATATTAATTATCCGAACAAATGGATTGGAAGGAGACTTGGCGCCACCTGACTTTTTTCTGTGGGGTCACCTCAAGTCAGTTATTCATAAAACTCAACTTGCGTCACTTGGGGAATTAAAAAAATCTGTTTAAAATCTGTTTTTCCGTTAATCAGCTGTCGCCCCCATACGAACGACAACTCTCAGAAGTTGATAAACTTGTGCGAGCTAAGGACTAACGAGGTCTTACCTTTTAACGTGTGATTCCTAACACGGTTGCAGAGTCATCCTAGCTTCAACCAGATAAATTCTCTCGAGAAAAATATCTGATCGAGGCAGGAATCGAACCCACGGTCTTCCGATCGTGAGTCGGACTCACTGCCACCGCGGCCAATTCCACAATAATTGTGAGAAAGAATTATGCAAGCATGTCGCGCCATTACTAGAAGAACATTTGCCAAAGTTGGTGCTGAACTTGAAAATAGGATGTATTGTTGTTTACAAAACAACGGAACCCACTTTGAACATTTACTTAATTGACATTTTTGATAAATTTGCAGTTCAACAAAAACCTCATTAAATATTCCATTTCAATGATGTATCACAAGTAGGGGTTTGCAATTTAAACTTTTTGTGTTTTGGTGGGTGGGGCCTAGGGGTTTGATGGGGGTGAGTTCTCTTCCATGTCACTTCAGTTCCCCCTCACCATCCTAGAAACTGTTTCAAGCATTTTTCGATATCAGCTTTCGTTCGTGAGATATAGCCCATTGTTACTTTTAAAATTGACACACTGTATTTCATTTCCATCTGAAGATCACAAATAACACATTTAGTTACGTTAAATGTGTTATTTGGGATCTTCAGATGTGATGTTAAAAAAAAATTGACAACCCTTTTATTCCCTAACCCAAATCTTGATTTTCTCGACTACTTTATTGCGGAATTTGTTATAACAATAGGTGTCGGGTACGTTGAGTGTTATTTGAGAGAGGAGGCACACAAAGCTTCATTTCATCTTGAAAATTGGCGAAATTAATTTTGGTTGCTCAACCTTTGGCTTTGACGTCTTTTGTTGTGCTTCAAAACTTACGGAAGTGATTCTATCATCTATGGATGCAAATATTCCTTTTTCATTAAACGACATTCCAACGGCAAACATTGGTTACTACTAGCTGAACAATTTGCGGCCCACTATACATTCGATTTTCTGGGAAAGGCACCACTCACTATTCTCACAGTAGAATTCACAATGCCGGAAATTACTTTTCGACAACGTCGAATTCGCAAATGAATTCGCACCAGTATTTTGCAGACTTTTCAACTTATATTACAAGAAAGGGGTTTTCCACATTGTCTCCAACCCCCTTTTTTCTGTATATCAACGACTTTTTAGAAAAAACCAAGAATCCAATATATTGCTTTGCTGACGACAGCACACTTGTCTCGTCATTCTATTTGAATTCCAGGACATCGGCTACGGAGGCACATCTTCATCGGCAGTAGGAGGTTGCATATATCAATGAGGATCTAGAAGTGATTTCGAATTGTGGTGAAAGTAACCAGGTTCAATTCAATGCCGCAAAAACCCAGGCATCGGTTTTCTGCAAGAAGAAAAATGTCCCTGAACTGGATATAATGATGTCAGGTGAGACAGTTCCGCTTTCTGCTTCGATAAGTTTGTTGGGGGTTGAAATGGACACCAATATGTTTCGACATAATTATGTCTCTGGAATAGCAAAAGCTGCTTCTCAAAAGCTTGGAACATTGTTCCGAACTAGAAAACTGTACACACCTCAGCAACTTTTAATACTTTATAAGGCTCAGATCAGTCCTTCTTTGGAGTATTGTTCTCATGTATAAAGCTCTGCCCCCAAACATACCTTGGAGTTGCTGGATTTCATCCAGAAAAGAGTCATCCGTCTGATTGAAGACACGAACATCACGTGCAACCTTGATAGTCTGGAACATCGAAGAAAGGTTGGAGATTTGTCTCTCATTGGGATATCGGAAACTATGAGAGATACGAAGATGGTTAAATTGGAGCTAAGTTGTGCATTCACCTGACTAACAATATGCCGTTGAGAAAGTTCAGAATTTACGATTATATCCAGAGATATCTAGAAAAAACAGAAATCTATTTTATGAAGGATTCGAAAATAAATTGCATTTTTATATTTCCAATGTTTCCCTGCTACATAATGATGTTTTCAGATTTGCGATCCGACGTTTCGACTTCCGGTCACCATCGTCAACCTTATTTTATCTTAGTCAGGGCACTACATTGGATTCTTTCTGTTCTGAATTGAACCAGATTTTACCTTTTCAATGATGTATCATAAATTATCATTCTTTTTAGAAAAATATTAGATATTGAAAAAAAATTTTTCTTATCATAATAGGCTTTGACTTTGATGTTTCTTAATTTGACTTTCAATCCGTTACCCTAAATTATATTTTGTTATTGTACAAGTCATTGAATTTTTGGTGAAAAATGGCTTTCAGGAATGATGAAAAAAGAAATATGATACAAATTTTTCACAAATACGATAGAAACAGTATTAGGACATCGGAAATGTAGTTAAACTTGAATTCCGAAAGACGACAACTATATCGAACTATGTTCAAGTTATTGGATCAAAATCTCACCGAGTTTGGTTCGTTTGAAAAGCCAATGAAAAAATATGGAGACAAAATCAACAATCAAAATTTGATAAATGAGGTGTGTATGAGGTGAATTAGACATTGTGTTCTTTCCAATGAAAATAGGACCTTGAACAAATAACCATAATTAACTGAAATATGAAGACTAAAGTAAATCATAGCAAACGCTCAAACTACTGGACTTGTTCATGATAACACAACTGAGCTCTTCTTCGAAAATTATTCATTGCATGATTAATTTTTCTCCTCCTCAATCTTCCAAACTCTCTAACAATGCTGTGTTGAAGGTCCTCAATATTTTGATATTCCCTCTGACCATAAACCAGTGCATCCCATAAAAATGTATCCATAACACTCAAGTCTGGAGACCTTGCTGGCCAACTCACTGGCCCATTATTTCCCATCCATCCATCACCAAACCTTCCAGTCAGGTAATTAGATACTTGTCTGGTAGTGTGCGGTGGAGCATCATCATGTTGAAATCAGATTTTGTTATAGTTAGCCAAAAGTAGATCATCCAAATAGTCTTCGAAAATCGACATTAAAACTGGTGACAGGTTTCTACATTCAGAATTACGTCAGATAAATGAGGATCCATAATTTTATCTTTGTAAATTTCTGCCCATATGTTAATACTAATTCGCACTTGAGGACGAATTTCTCGGAACTGCCTGGGGTTGTTTATGCTCCAAATGCGTTCGTTATTTCGGTTGAATATCCCACAATTCCCCATTTTCCAGGAAAACAGGAAAATCAGGTCTTCTTATCAACCAATTACAAAATTCTAATCGCCTTTCTGGATCACCTGGATGCGATTTTTGAGATATGTGTATTTGGTAATAATTTAAACCGCTTCAAGCACGTGTATGACAAGTATTCATTACAGAGGAAATTTGACGTGTAGATTTCCCCGGGTTAATTTTCATTGAAAAGGACACAATGTCTAACTTACCTCATACATATCTCATTTATCAAATTTTCTTTAGTTTCCTGGTCCATTCTGTCTCCGTATTTTTTCTCGGCTTTTCAAATGAACCAAACTT